CAGGAGCGCCATAAAAACATACATGTAACATTCGCCCGGAAGATACATATCGACGGATAACAAAACTAAGTCTTAAGACGACTGGCCAGCGTCTAAACAGAGCTTTGCATGTTTTTCACCGTCTCTACCAAGCCAGTACTTTTCGGTGGTCTTTCTTACATCGGGTCGACAAAAACGTTACTGTTCTCCGGCTTCGACCAGAACGCTCAAATTAACTGAATTACATGCAAAAATAGTGAGCTCATGGCTGGGTCTCAGTATCCCCAGACCACGAGGTCACTCCTAAAAACAGGGCTACTACTTATCATATTACTATTGTTTTTGTTCAGTAGATAAAAATCATCATCTCCATCGAAGATGGATCAACCCTTCCCCCTCTACTTCTAGCTCCTCATTCTTGTCAAAACGAATTAAGATCTTAATTAAATTCAAGTCAGGACATGACGGATGCTAAAATTCAATATAAGTTCATAAAAGTCCACGTCCCGAGACCCTTCCGGATTCTTGAATCCGGTGAATCAAGCTTCTTAATATCCAGTTCACAATAACTCGGGAGGCTGGGTTTTACCCTTCACCGTTGCTCGCAACGGCCTTGCAACTATTGTAACAGCACAATAGTTGCAACTCGGAACGTCCTCTGCTGTTCGATAGTTCGTTGTTGTTTTTTTTTAGTCTCGATTTCGTACTGTTCGTAATCGCAGATAAAGTTGTTCTGTTTCTTTCTGCTATTTTAGCTAAAATGGCCGTCTCTGACGTTTCTCAGAAATATGACGTCATAATTCGAATTTTTAAAAATTAGAATTCCAGAATCTTCTAGCCTTCACCGTTTGGCTAATCGTTCAAATAACGTCCTTATCCGTTCTAAATCGCCAATTCGGAAGGCTTGCTGCTAAAATACCGAATTCTGCAGAGACTGCATTTTGGCCATTCTGGTCGAATGTCACATCCTTACCACTTCAAAAGAAAACAGATTGTGCGTACATTGTTTGTTCGTTTATTTTACTTGCAACAGCACGGACTCTCTTGATACTAAAAAAACTTGCTCTGTAATGATAATCAATGTGTCATAATTTTTTTAATTAGTGCAGGCAATTGAGTTAAAAAAAACAATGAGATCAATTGTATTTGATTTTTTACATTTTGATAGAACATTTTAGTACAATTTCTAAAAAATATTTGAATCATCATCTGAATCACAAAAAATCTAAAGTGTGGTGTCTTGTCTTAAGACTTTACTCTTGCCCTAATAAAAAAAATTAAATATGAGTTTATCTGATAGTAAAAATTTGAAAAAAAGAAGAATCTTTCGCTTGGTTTGCGTAACTCAGATGATCTTTTGCTAGTCATCAGTATGTTAAAGATTAGTTGGACTGTGCCTGCTCTTCCAATACTTCAACTTAAACTTCTTATTTAAGCAGCTTAGAAAAAGGGAAATATGTCGCAGTTTTTTACCTTGAATTTCTTAAGCTTGAACTCTGGGACACCCTAGGATACTCTAGAATACTCTAATAATCTACGCTTTGCTTTTCTTTTAAAATTTTGTCAATAACGCCATCAAAAACTGAAACGACACTTAGTTGTTTTCATAAAAATCATTTTTGTTAACTTCAAGTAATTATTCGACAAAAAATTTTCTGGGATCAAAAGCATAGAAATAACATAACATATCTCCAATTGGCTTTTTTAGTGACGTAACTGTAGGGAAAAAAATTGTTGAATTTTTCTTAAGTTTAAGCCCAGCACATGAAAATTTTTCAGATAGTTTTAAAACATCCCCAAAATAACTAGTTAAGAAGGCGGCTTTTTCTGGAGAATCTATTCACAAAGAGATATTGTAGTTGTTCGTTTATGATCTATGCTACGGTTTAGTGAAAAAAATTTTTAAGACATAACTCTTATAAGGGGACATAATTGTTAAAATCTGGGCTTTTGAAAATTACATATTTTGGATAATAATGCGCATCTAATTTGTGTTGACGTGTTTATCGTGTATACAACCGGATAAACATTAGTTTTTTCACCAACAACTACTACAACTATTTTAAGAAGTAGCCAAACATTCAAGGTTTTGCTCTGATGCTAGCAGATTTGTTTGCCCAGATTTGCTAGCTAGCATTTTTGGTCAAACAGATTAAATTTGAGGTTATTTTTTGACAATAAATTGCTATGTTTCCGTTTATTGTTCATAAGGGCCCAAAATTTGACACATTGCCGATGAAACTATATGAAAGAATCTGAACGAATTAAAACATGGTGATTTTTTTGAAGCCGTTGATTAATCAGTCAATCTTAAGTAGAATCTGGTATTGAGTTGTTCTGGTCGTCGAATCATTCTAGTAAAAAAACACAAGGAATTTAAAAATATGGACTCAAAACTAGAGATGTACCGGATTCCGGAATCCGGTTCCGGAATCCGGCAAATCCGGCAATTTTGGGATGTCAATCCGGATCCGGAATCCGGTAAAAAGTAACCGGATTTTATCGGATTTGATTCGCCTAAAATTTGTTGAATTCTCAGTTAAAAAATAAGTTTGCAACTGTTTTTATTCAAGCTGTTACACAGAAATTTTACTCAATGTATAAATTATTGAAGAAGTAAAAAGTTATCATGAATCAAAACAAGCTGTTCGGAAAATTCTGGTAAATAGCGGGGCGCGAATGACGCATATACATCAAACAAAAACTACTCGTAGCAGTAATACTTGATTTCAACAGCTGCACTCAAATTACTGACAAACAATTAAATGAAATCCGGAATCCGGTTCTTTTTTTACCGGATTCAATCCGGATCCGGTAATCCGGTAAATTTCGATCCGGTCACATCTCTACTCAAAACTTTTCTTTGGTAAGCTTATGAACTTGGCTTTGTTGTCATATTGCGCGAAAACAGCGAATGAAAATAAAAAATTCATCAAAGAAAGTTCGAAGGCAATCTTTTCAAGCTTGCAAGAAAAACTTTTACGAATTCTCTTAAAATGATCTACATTTTTTCGTTTTTCCGATTGGATTCGATAACATGAAATTTACTAATGACCCGCAATGAAAGAGTCAAAACTCAATTTAGTTTTCGACAATGGTAAAATTACTTAAACTGTTTTTAAAAATTATTCTTTAATAATTTTTGGCCAATTTTAATTGTTTTTTTTTTTCAAATTTTATTTAAGCTAGCCCAAAAATTGGTATTTAAACAAAAAATTTCATCTTATACTTTTTTCGTTTATCTTGAAATCTGGTCTTAAGTCAGTTTGGCCGGAATATTATGTGCTACTAGCAGAGGAACCGTTTATCTTTGTTTTTCAAAGAGTTTTAGAGATCTCAAGCGATTGGAAACATTTCGTTTACTCTTGCTGTGAGATCCCAAAAAATCTTACTTAACGCCTGGCTTTAATCTCTCAGCTGATGTTCTTTTCTTTTATTGTTCTGAAAATTAAAAACGGGGAAGAACTTGGCCTTCGGGTGTTTTAGTGTTTTTGTTATCTACGCAAAATCAGCTACCCTAAATAATTATTGGAGAGATTTGAGTGGTATAACATATTCAAGCCCTTTCAGTCGTGGTTTGAATGACTTTCAAAAAAATTGTCTTTTTTTTCTCTTGAGAGAAAAACTGGTTTAAAATTTTTTATTTGTATTTCAACGTTCATTATATAGAAGGAACTATTTTTACAATAATGTAGGCTCACAAAACTTGATTTTACGTTTGAAAAAAAATTATTGGATTTTTTTAGCGTTGATTTGACAAGGAAGATTTTCAAAAAAAATGTTTTTCATTCATTTTTTTTGTTTGGTATTCATTTATTGAAAACAAAACGATCAAGCTTAAGTCATTAATTCTCTACGCGATAGTATAAATCTCGAATCACACTGCCCACTAAAAAGAAAACTAATTCGAAAATTAAAAAAAATCTACTTTTTTATGAATATGGTCGGAAAATTCTGTGCTAATTCCACAGCAACCGCCTATCCTCTTCTACAAATGTTTTTGTTCAGCCAAATGATGACAAGTCGATGCTCTTTTGGGAAGTTTACTAATCATACCGTTGTCATATTCCCGGGTTGACCTCCATACACCGAAAAAGCTTATCATACAATTCCGTACATCAAGTGTGTGGAAAAATGCTTGTCACTCAATTTTCATACAATTTCGAAAAATAGTTCAAAAAAGACATAAGTTAGTTTCTGCGGTTGTTTGATTCTAATAAAACAGACTGGTGATAAAAAACCGGGGTTTTCGTTTTTTGAAAAAAATGCTTATCATACAATTCCAACAATTGGAAATTGTATGGCTGGCATTTTTTTGATAGCGACACAAAAAATTTTGAGTTTGCCCCAAAAATTTATTTTGTTTTTTTTTCAACCGCAAATCGAATTTTGTACGCAAACAAACTTTTTCCAAAAAAAATTTTTGCATGTAAAATTTAAATTTTTTTGTGTGCATAACGTAGTCTTGGATACGATAATGTGACTTTTTTCTTTTCGTTTTATTGTTTTTTTTTTTCAAAACGCTGAAAACTCTTTTTTATATGGCGTGTTTATGTATCTCTTGATCAATGTCTGATAGTTTAAAATTCAAATTTTTAAAAAATAATCATTGTTGAAAAATTTTACCAGTTTTAAAAGTTTGGTACTTTCCTTATACCATTTGTGAAAGACAGCTCTAAGACAATTCAGGTCGTTTTCTATGCACTTTAAATGCGAGTCCGTCCAACCTTTGGTGCTTTGAGTTAACCAACGTCTTTGTCAATTGTGTTCGGTTACAAACACAACCCAAAATTTCGAAACTAAATTTAGAAACAAAAAATCAACAAAAAATGCTTATCATAGAGATTTCATACAATTTTCTGTACGTAGGGAATTGTATGAAATTGTGTGACCAGAAGTTTTGGTCAACTCGGGTTGTTTTTATTCGTAAGGGTCAACTGGATTTTCATTCAAAGTAATTGAAATGATTTACTCTCAGAAGTCTTATAATTGTTTGAAAAAACTATGAAAAATGAATTTAACCATCGAAATAGCAGATAAAATAGCAAAAATCTCCACATGTGATTATGTAAACTTGATTATGTCACAATGACACTTCATGATTATGTAAAAATGACACTTTATGATTATGTAATAAAGACACTTTATGATAATGTAATAATGACACTTTATGGTTATGAAATAAACGCCCGAAGGTTTTAAACATCGGCCTTCCAGTATTTTTCCGAGTCGAGAGAGGAGCCGTTGAGAAGAGAGAAACTCTGAGTGCTGCTGACACTTCCGTTCACTGGTGGGTACTTGTTTCTTTCTTGGGGATTCTCCAGCAGAAACTCTTCCAGCTCCTGCACGTCCTGGAATATCTTGACTTCAAACGGACTCTGAGGGATCTCAACGTCCGCCCACCACACCTGGAAATAAACATAACACAAATTATACAAAGTCAAATGTTTGATAGATTTAAATAAACTAATCTAGAACGGTTTCAGCGATTCGCAGAGGATCTATGAAAAGGTATCTAGTCTGTCTAAGCATAGTATGTTCAACTTATTTCCCCACATTCTCTACTGATTTATTTTGCTGAGAGCGAACCTCTTTTTTGCGACTCAAGGTTTTTTTGGGTTTAGCTTTTTTATGAGTTTTAATTGCGCTAGCGATATATTTTCTACAATTGTAGATACGTTTCATGAATTAACATCGAGTTCTGCAAATTTGTCCGGAAATCCGTAAAAATTCACGACTTTTTTAGCTGATAATTGTACGATGGAACCTGGAGTCAAATTATAGCTTGCCCACAACCTCACATCAGCATCATCTTTACGGTGTAACGAATGCTTTTCAAAAGTAAAGTAAGAATTCTGAACACGTTCAACATAGCTTAATTCGTCTAATTAGCATGCAAATTTTGATACTCATGGGCAGGGGCGGATCTAGGATTTTTTCGAAAGGGGGGGGGGCGGATTTACAAAAGTTTTCGAAAATTTTGACGACCTTTTTTTAGGTCGACCAAATTGATTTTCCGAGCTTTCGTAAAGCACTAAAAGACGCTGTTTTGACCAAATTTTGAGCGCCGCAGGCAATTTTTTGAAAAAACAGGTCAATTTTTTGGGGCACTTTTTGAAAATTTTGAAAAAAAAATCTTGAAAATTTTTTGAAAGTTTTGAATCATAATTTTGAAAGTTTTTTGGCGCGCGCTCCCCCCGCAAAGAAATATTGGCGCCACAGGCGCACTTAGAAAAATTCAAGGGTACGTCACCAAATATGGATATCTAAAAACAGTACAAAGGGGGACCCTTTGGGTAGGCAGGGGATCAAATCCCTGAGAGAAGGGCGTCCGCCCTACCCGCCCCCCTAAATCCGCTCCTGCTCGTGGGACAATGTTAAAATTGTTTTGAAAAAATCGAAGGTTTTTGGTATACGAAAAGGATCTCAAAGTATTTATTGTAAAGCGTCAAATTCAATATGGTTTTTATAACAATTTCTATCAGATATTATGTGGTCTCAGGTTCCCCCTTTTTAACTCTAAACAACTTAACAACATGCAGTTTCACTCTCTACTTTTTGTTGCCTTAGCAATTTAACTTCGATATTTAAAAACCATTTCGATAAATGTGCTTAGGGGAATGCTTTTTGGACGGAATGAAGAGCAGTTTGCTCGGAAGCTAACAAAAATTTTCAGGCCGGCAGTTGGGTGATAAATCAATTATAGCCTGCAAAAAGCGATAGTACGTTTTTTCGGTTTTGTTAAGAAGAAAAGCGTAAATGCAAGCTGGCGCAACGCCAGATACACTAACATGAATTGAATATAGCAGATAGAACATTTTTTGAGTAATTTTTAGAAGTTCCATTGGCTAACCAGCAAGATGATTTCTCCAGAACTCTCAGCATTCTGGGGTCGCCGCACAAAATGATTCACTCGTGATCATTTGATCCATTGTCATATTGAAAAACTTTTTCAGGGATCTTGAAATTTGGCGCAACGGGGGTGGGCAACATTTTTACATCTAGCTGCTTGCATTTTTACATGTGCGCGCAGCCGTTTGGATAATTTTTTCTTTAGTTGGGAGGGCAAATTGAGTAGCCAAATTGTTTGTAACTGGCAAAACCGCACTGGCAACTGCGACAGTCGGGGTAAATCTCTCGTAGAGATCTTTTAAATACCTTATGACATTTCGAACAACCAATTTTCCCGCTAAAGTGTCATGGTTATGCTCTCCATGCGTCCTGATTAATTCGTTTTTTTTTTCTCTAATGGCAGTTGCAGTTGGTTGACCTTTTATGTGTTTGATATTTTGAGCAAATCCAAATTTTGGTGAACTTACTTTTTTGCTTGAAAAAAATTCGTGGCCGGACGCTAGAAGAATTGGGTTGTTTTTAGATGAAACTAAGAATTCGAAAGAAGGCTCAGTCATAATGTGTTTATTGTGTTTGCGTTTGTTTATAAGTTCAGTAAAGTATAAAGTGACTATCAGAATTTAACGTCAGAAATTTTACGTCAAGAAAATATTACGAATTAGCACAAGTAGATATTTATAGTGATCATAATGATTTAGCAAAAAATTTAGAAAAAAAATACGAACTTGTCGATAAGAGTCGTAAGTAATTTAGGAAGCTCCTTTTTAGCATATATAAATAAATTAAACCAAGTTTTTCATAATGGGGCGTGCGTTAATTGCTGGAATAACTTTGGTGTGATAAGAGTTAAGATAAAAAATTCATACAGCCTTATTTTTACTAGTGAAACTACCAGGTGTTAAATTGTACGGTGTTAAATTATCTGGTATTAAATTGTAGGACAACGTGGTCTCAGTATTGTGCCGAGGGGTGTAGATGTGAGGCTCGATTCCCCCCTGAATTCTGGTTGCCAAATTTTCCAAAATGTCCCACCTTTCGTATAATATTACGACATCCATTCTTGGCTGACCAACCTCAAAATTTTACTAAAGGTGCCTTTGGGGCCAATAAAAAATTTGAGGGGAAGCGCGCGCCAAAAAAATGCAATTTTTTGGTCAGAAAGTTGGCCTGTTTTTTGAACAAATTGCCTGCAGAGCAGAAAGTTTTTGACAAAATGGTCCTTGTAGTGTTTTCGGAGAGCTTGCAAAATCAAATTGATCGACCTAAAAAAAGTTCCATAACATTTTCGAAATGTTTCGAAAAACCGCCCTCCCCTTTAGAAAAATTCCCGACCACGCCCCTGTGTGATCTTGTTATAATTGATACTTGCCTCCACTTTATACTCGCCTGGCTCGTTGAGGTTGTAGCGTACCACTATGGTCCTGTTCGTATAGTTATTATGTGGTCTGTGATAATTGATAATTGCCTCCATTTTGTAGTCGCCTGACTCTGTGGGTTTGTAGCGTACCACTATGGTCCTGTTCTTATAGTTATTATGTGGTCTGTTATAATTGATATTTGCCTCCATTTTGTAGTCGCCTGGCTCTGTGGGGTTGTAGCGTACCACTATGGTCCTGTTCTTATAGTTATTATGTGGTCTGTTATAATTGATACTTGCCTCCTTTTGTAGTCGCCTGGTTCTGTGGGGTTGTAGCGTACCACTATGGTCCTGTTCTTTTAGTTATTATGTGGTCTGTTATAATTGATACTTGCCTCCACTTTGTAGTCGCTTTTCTCTCTGGGGTTGTAGCGTACCATTATGCTCCTTTTCTTTTAGTTATTATGTGGTCTGTTATAATTGTTATTTGCCACCATTTTGTTGTCGCCTGGCTCTGTGGGGTTCTAGCGTACCACTATGGTCCTGTTCTTTTAGTTATTATGTGGTCTGTTATAATTGATGTTTGCCTCCATTTTGTAGTCGCCTGACTCTGTGGGGTTGTAGCGTACCACTATGGTCCTGTTCTTATAGTTATCATGTGGTCTGTTAAAATTGATATTTGCCTCCATTTTGTAGTTGTCTGGCTCTGTGGGGTTGTAGCGTACCACTATGGTCCTGTTCTTATAGTTAGTGTGTGGTCTGTTATAATTGATACTTGCCTCCACTTTGTAGTCGCCTGGCTCTGTGGGGTTGTAGCGTACCACAATGGTCCTGTTCTGATAGTTTTTATGTGGTCTGTTATAACTGATATTTGCCTCCATTTTGTAGTCGCCTGGCTCTGTGGGTTTGTAGCGTACCACTATGGTCCTGTTCTTATAGGTATTATGTGGTCTGTTATAATTGATACTTGCCTCCATTTTGTAGCCGCCTGACTCTGTGGGGTTGTAGCGTACCACTATGGTCCTGTTCTTATAAAAACTATGTGGTCTGTTATAATTGATATTTGCCTCCATTTTGTAGTCGCCTGGCTCTGTGGGGTTGTAGTGTACCACTATGGTCCTGTTCTTATAGCTATTATGTGGTCTGTTATAATTGTTATTTGCCTCCACTTTGTAGTCGCCTGGCTCTGTGGGGTTCTAGCGTACCACTATGGTCCTGTTCTTATAGTTATTATGTGGTCTGTTATAATTGATACTTGCCTCCACTTTGTAGTCGCCTGGCTCTGTGGGGTTCTAGCGTACCACTATGGTTTTGTTCTTATAGTTATTATGTGGTCTGTTATAATTGTTATTTGCCTCCACTTTGTAGTCGCCTGGCTCTGTGGGGTTGTAGCGTACCACTATGGTTTTGTTCTTATAGTTATTATGTGGTCTGTTATAATTGATATTTTCCTCCACTTTGTAGTCGCCTGGCTCTGTGGGGTTTTAGCGTACCACTATGGTCCTGTTCTTATAGTTATTATGTGGTCTGTTATAATTGATACTTGCCTCCACTTTGTAGTCGCCTGGCTCTGTAGGGTTGTAGCGTACCACTATGGTCCTGTCTTTCGAAGTGTCTCTGTGCATGTCCACTTTGAACCCACCTGATGGCACAAAAAAATGGAAAAAATAAACAAAGAGTGTTTGGCTTGTGGAATTAGCACGGAAAGTTACTACCACACATAATTTGAAAAAATATACACCTTACCGAAAAAAAAGAATTATTTTCAGTTTTTTTTTGGAATAGGTTACAAACTAGCTTCAAATAAACTACCAATCAAAATATCTAAGAAGTTTCGAAGTTTCTTGTTAAAAGTTTCTAAATAAAAATCCCCCCCCCCCTCTCTCGAGCACAAAAATTTCTTTACTTTTGTTGAAAGTCGGAACAACAATGCAATTTTGTTGGTGCACAAATACTTAGAAGTGCAGCCTCTCTAGACTTGTAAGAGATCTGTTGTGGCAGCTCATTTTTATTCCGTTAGGTTCTGTCTCAGCAAAATTCCCACAACTGTTCAAATTTATAGTTCATCAGATTCTCAGAAGCAGTTACGATACACTAAACTTTTATAAGCAACCAAAGATCTACTTAACAATTACCCCTCCCACCCTTTTTCTAGAAAGCAACAAAAATTGAAGCGTAAATAAAACGCTCTAGTGTGCTAATATACTGGGCTGGCAAATCTTTAGTAGACACTAAAAGGGGGGTATTTTTAGGTAGATCTGCATCCAAAAAATGAGCAATGTACTTTTAGGCCGTGAAGTTCCTTGAAAATTGTTAATTCTGTCGTTCTATAACAGCAACTGTTAGTTGTGGAGTCTGGGTGTGGAGGGTAATGAATCAAAGAAAGAGACCCTAAAAAAGTAGCTGATTTTTTTCTCATGTCATTTACCTTTTGGCCCGTGAACTCTGACCTTGAGCTGACCCGCCCCTGCTCCTTTGGTGTCACACACGAAGTCCCCCCTGAACGAAGACAGCACCCCGTGCTCCAGCCCTGGTCCATAGATACGACACTTTGTGGGGTCAGGGGCGCCCGAGATCCTAAAACACTTCTGTTCTCATCAGCCGAAAGGTCCCGTTAATATTTCAAGAAAATTGGATCATAATGCGCTATTCTGATTGGTTAAATTAAATTCAGCGAAATAAAATATGGAGTTTCATTCGAAACCACACCTAAATCACAAATTTGGTAAGTTTGGACCGTATAACAGAAAATAATCAAAATTGCTTCTAAAAAGCCAAGTTTTAGTTTCACTGCTAATGCTTTATGCTCCCTTCCCGGGGGGCTGCGGTTGCAGAAGTTGCAGAAAATTTTGAAAACTTTTTGAAAATCCGCCTCCCCCCTTCGAAAAAATTGTAGATCCGCGTACTTAACCGTTCAATATATGCTTGGCAATTCGTTACTAGGTACCAAAAGCGAGGGGGGGGAATAGTTAAGGAGGTCCCTGTTTTCAAAGAGGGGGGGGGGGGGTGTGTTATCATGGACCTGAGTGAGTGTGTATAATAACCGGACTAAGTAGGGACTGTTGTGTATGTGTTCCGAGTCGTATTTTATCTCCAGTCCGTGTTTGCCCGCCTCCTTGGGCATTATGTTCATCGAGTAGGTGCCGTCCAGATTGTCGATCACGTCCACTGTCGCCTGGGTGCCCCGCGGACCACGACAGTCGAAAGTGAGCAGACCTGAAATGAAAATTTCCACTTGACAATAGAGTACTGCATAAAAAAATGAAAAAACGGAACTTCGTGAAAAACAACTTGAAAAAACAGGCCTGTGTAGAAAAAATGAGAAAAAACGGAACTGCTCACTTTTGAGCCCTGAAATAAACAAATTGACGCTGTATTGATTTACATAAAATTTTTGTTAAAATCTTTCATTGGATCGCCGAAAACTGACTAAATAGAAAAGCCACACCGAGCATAAATATTCCGTGTTTTTTGAAAGTCGGAACAATAAACTTATTCAAGTATTCTAATAGGCGTGTTTGTGTTGAAACGTGTGCTTGTGAATTCCACTCTGTATTGAGGATTCCACGTAAAACAGAAAGTATTTGGTCTTTGAACTCCGCCTATTTTGTCAACGTTTTTATCTAGTAGAATTGAAGAAAGATGATTCATCTGGAAACAAAAGATTAAAACAAAAACAGATCAACCATGCAAAATTACCCCCTAAACCCCCCTGACGGTAGAGCGGCAAATCGTAAAAATTTTGGCCTGTATCACTTCTTTATATATATTCTCATCACATGCCATAATTACACGACCTCTCGCATCTCAGGACAGAACCTTGACAGAAATGTTTCGACTGCACTTCAACTGGTCTCGAATTGACAATGAATTATGGAGCGCCAATATCAAGCGTTAAGTGTTAACAGTTTTTGAGCGGGATTATTCCGAGCTTAAAAACTCGCGCTTAACATTTCAACTTCATAGTAAAGCACATAAAAAAATTCAGACCATGGCAAAATTGGCATTCTGGATACGAACTTTGAAGAAATTGCGGGCTATTTAGGCTCGGGTGGCTTTATATTTAGTCAGTTTTCGACTTTTCGCTTAAAACTTTTGACGGAAGTTTTGTATAAAATCTGAAGTATATTATTATGTAGAGCGCAAGAAGAAAAAATTCACGTGTGGGTAATTGATTTTGTAAGGTTATGGAGTCTTGCAAATTGTTGTTTTGCCATTTTGGGATAATAAACGCGCAGCATACTGCGTTTGTAAACCACATGTAAGTGAAGGGTTCATGCGTTCCAAAATGAATTGAAGAAAGTCTTTGTTCTGATTTTCGTAACGAAGGTAACGGAATATTTGTGCTCGGGGTGGTATATTTTCCTCACAAATTTCGATTTTTTACTAGCCGTTTTTGACGGACTTTTTAAATATCATTTAAAAGGTAGTGCTGTCCTGAGCGAAAAACTCGAAAAGATATTCCAACTGTGATCATTTTTCGTACAGTTATGGGGGTTTAAAAATAGCCATTTTAGCCAACTTGGGACAATTAACGCGCAATATATTTTGCGTGTCTGTACAAAACATTCCAATACAAAACAGTCCGGAAAAGTACGAAAATGAACCAAAAAACAGTCCCAAGTAATAATTGTTTTAACAAGCCGGTAGGCCGAGAATTTTCCTTTGTTCAACAAACATAAATAACAAAATAGTGACCGCCGCAGTCACGCCAACGTGTTGCGAGCTTGTCAACAAAGGGTAGGATTTAAAACGAAATTTAGAGCCGGTTATCGCCGCGAAGCTGCGACGCACGCGCAGCGCGCCCACCGGCGACCTTAAACCGGACTATTTTGTATTTGGACTGTTTTTTTCCTTAATTTCATGATTTTTTGGACTATTTTGTACTGGACTGTTTTGTATGGGACTGCTTTGTATATGCACCACATTTCGCGCTTTTAACGCGTAAGCTGAGTTTGAATTCGTCTTAGAAATCGTTCCAAATTGGTTGAAGAAAATTTATTTGCTGTATGTGATTTGTTACAAGGAGCGAAATCGATCACTTTGTACTTTATATGGCGTGGGGGAGGGGGGGGGCAATCGCAACATTCGCAACATGGGGCAATCGCAACATTCAGGGTTTCATTCTGATACAAGCCGTCTCGTTTGGTTTTATTATTACAATACCAGACGCTAAATATATTCCCTTGTACTTTACACAGCTTGTTGGGGGAAAAGAAAATGACAAAAAACAACACGAAACACTTTTTGTTTGGATTTTTATCCATTATTTATCCAAAACTTGTTTTTGACCTTAGAGTGCAGTCGGAACATTCAGGGCTCCGCCCTGATTAACGAGTAGGCTTTTTTACATTTGAATCTATGAATTCGTTATCTTAATTGGGGTGTAAGATACAGAACTTTCGGGCTCTTTTCTATTCCCTCTCGTAAAATTGCTTTACGAAATTGTCAAACAGTGTCTATATAATAAATCACGCACAAATTTTTTTTCCAAATCCGTTGATTTGTTCACTTTGATGTGTTTTTTTAGAGTTTAGATAATCAAAAGTCCATTTAAGAAGAGGAGTGGAAAAGAGCCCACTTTTCCTCTAGCAAGAAAACTGAGTTTTGATTGGCTGGCATAATTTTTCGGGCATTCAGCCTGCCTCCAGGTTTTCGCGCCAAAAATTCATGAAAGAGTTTAGATTTGTCGTTACCTGGTCTGGCGGCCCTGGTGTCCACTCCGAACTTGATCGGCCGGCCAATCACCCCCTCCTTCAGTCCAGGTCCAAATGCCTCCACCGACTGAGAGTTCACACTGGGCTGGACTATGACCTTGAACGGGGATCCAGGCACCTGTCTGTCTGCATACGTCACGTGCATCAAGTACATGCCTGGAGTTGGTTAACATACTAATATAACACGCTATATAATAAAAATTGTTATGATTTAAACAACTTCAATGTATCATCAAAAGGTGGTTACTAATGATGAGGGGTTTTGAAGACAAAGACCATGCGTTTAATCATCTTGAGCTCTCAGTTTTACTTTGTGAACGCCATGCTTTGATTTCTCGGCGGAATCAAACAACTTATGATATTTTGTATAAACTAAAAGACATTAATCGTAGTTGATGGTTTTTTATGGGGTTCTTTTTCAGTTTGCCAACCCTCGTAAAATAATATAAAGTTATTTAAAAAATGTTAAAACAGTCATTCGCATGAAAGAATTCTTGTAAAATTTTATTCACTTGTTCACGTTAACACGTTTTATTGCAATTAAGCACATCGAAAGACATTTTATTTAGCTTTCGTAATTTGAATTTCAGAAAAATTCAGAGGGGGTGGGGCTATTAAATAAATGATTTTTTTGCTTGCCTTGCATGTATGGATTGTAGGTCGCATGATAAATAGTGTCACTCTTTTTGGACACTTCCACTTTCACGTCTCCATGTAGTCCACTCATTCTCACCTCCGGCTCACCTAAACACGGGAAAACATTCGTAATAATTTGCGTTAAATAGTTAAATAGCTACCGTTTGCTTGTAACCCCAAGGTTTGTGGTTCGAGGCCCACCTTGACTCGTGCACGCTCTTGAGAAAACAATTAGCTGCTCAGGGCCTGACTATAATCGAATATCTTTCTTTATTAGAGGAACAACACTGTCTTCTCAGCAAAGAGCTGAATTTGCTCACATGTTGTTTTTCCTTTGATGATACAAGACTTGAATCTTCTTAAAATAAGTAAATTCGACAAGAAGTGTTCAAATCGATTCATACATTTCGGCCGTTGGCAGAACTATATTGTACAAGCAAGCAAGTTCAGATTCCGCCCCAAAAGAAGTTGACAGATAAGCTAACGAAGATTTTTGTATCAACTCGCTTCATTGGGAAAGCAAATTAATCGCATTTTAATTTGTTTTTTAGTTCGGTCAATTTGATAAATTTTAAGGACTTATGAGTTCCGGCACTGGATTTTTATTGGAAGAAACTTGATTAAATTTTAGCTTTATTGTCAGTGTCTAAAAAGTGAAAAGTAATCGATTAGAATCAATTAAAAACGGATTATATTGCTATTATTAAATAAAGCATTAAAAACCAGCACTAAAAATCAATTATAATCGATTTTTTTTTCACTTTTATAAATAAAGACAAGGAAATTCCATTATCACTGACTGGTGAGATGAAAATTTCAACGCGCACAAAGTGTTTTAATTCTGCCTCGTTTCGGTTCTGAGGCAGATCGGTTTCGGGTAGCTGGCCGATTGACAACATTTCAATTCATACGTAAATTAACCGTAATTATCGAAAATTACAAGTCAACAAAGAATAACGAACTGCCATAAGTTTTGGTATTTAAAAGCAGAATTATTCAATGTCATAAAATACGCAAAATGAAAACATTAAAAAGTCAACTTTAAAATGGCGCCTGAACAATTGTGAACTTTTTTTCGATCTTTCAGTTTTCGACTTTTTTCACTCTCTGTTCTTCGTTCAGCAGAAAATTCATTGGTTACTTTTCTGCGTTTCAAACTAAAGTTGGTTGCTTGTTTTCAACTTTTTTTTCTTTTTTTACGATGACTGTCGCATGTGTCTTATATCTATTTTTGCGTTCAGTATTTTCATCACACCAGGCAGAAAAAACGACCTAATTTGAAAACAACGTTTGTATTTTTTCTAAGACTATGGTCAGAACATTCTTTGCTGTTTGCACAGTAACCGGCTATCCTTGTTTCATTTTGTTGTCTGAGTGGAGCATGGGAATCAAGAGACAATTTAGAGCAAAAAAAAACATTATAGTTGATTTCTTTCCACTTTTCTTAAATGGGTTTGTCGATAATTTTTGAGAAGTAATTTGTTGCTTCCAGGGAATGTGAAAAAGTACACAATTTCAATCTGATTTGGATCTTCATTTTGAGCAGTATAGAAGCACGGACTAGTTGTTGTGCAAATAGTGCTCTCATAATTTCGACCACTTTGATTTAGGAAAAGAAATGGAAAAATTAACAAAAAAAATGAAATCATTTTGGCAGTTTTCGGCTACATTTTTGTTCTAAAAAGATATAATGCTGAAATGCTGAATCAGGCAAAAAATTCAATAGCGAGTGCTGGTAAATCAAGAGGGGATTCTTTGGGGGGGGGGTTGCAAGTTTGCCATGCAAAGGGTTAGCCTTTTGCAGCTATTTGCCCCTGGTTACAAAAGCTGAAAAAAGGTTGGAGCTCGAACAAAATATACAAGTCAGCCTCTGATCAAGGGTTTTATTGAAATCTGAAGACGTGGAAAAACTTCAAACCAATTTTAAATGACACTGAGACTCGTTTTTTGAGGTTTTTTTTCCAGAGAGACAAGAAAAAAGAGACAACATCTCGATAACTTATTACGATCAGAGAAACGCCTCTTTTCAGTCAAAGCGAATGATTTTTAAACAAACCCACATACTTGAAGAGTTTTGATGCGTATCCGCAGCGCTGGATCTAGAACGTTCTCCAGGGGAGGGAAACGTTTTGTTTAGGTCAATCAAATTGATTTTCCGAGCTCTCGCGAATCACTATAATGATCCTAATTTCATACTGCCCCGCAGTGAATTTGAAAAACGTGTTTAAGACATTTTTGGAAAGTGTTCATCAAAAATCCGCATTTTTTGGCGCGCGTTCCAACCTCTAATTTAGTGTATGGAAAAAATAGGGTCGACCTAAAATGAATGTCGTCACAAATATTGCCAAAGAGCCGACCCTTTAAAAGGTCAGGGGGTCAGTCATTGAGGGAGGCAGGCGCCCAACTCTTCACCCGCCGTAAATCAGCTACTGCAAAACAAACCTAGAGTTCTGAGAATAGAGTGCTCATATTAAATTTGGGTGAGAAAAATCAGATGAGTCAAATACTCCCTAGCTATTTTATCCAATCACTTTCTTCGAAAAAGGAACCAAAAAAGCTATGATTCGATTCTATTTGTAGTTATTTGGCAAAATGCAAGCTAGAAAGAAATTAAATTTACATAGCAAAAATAAAGCTAGAAAAAACAATCTATTGCATTTCGACTCAATATTGGTAAACTTAATGTATATTTTTTCGAAGCGCGGAAAAAATGAGAGCTATACTAACTTGACATCTCCGTTATCCACTGTGAAAAGCAAATTGTTTTTTCCTGTGTAGAAAAAATGAGAAAAACCGGAACTGCTCACTTTTGAGCCCTGAAATAAACAAATTGACGCTGTATTGATTTACATAAAATTTTTGTTAAAATCTTTCATTGGATCGCCGAAAACTGACTAAATAGAAAAGCCACACCGAGCATAAATATTCCGTGTTTTTTGAAAGTCGGAACAATAAACTTATTCAAGTATTCTAATAGGCGTGTTTGTGTTGAAACGTGTGCTTGTGAATTCCACTCTGTATTGAGGATTCCACGTAAAACAGAAAGTATTTGGTCTTTGAACTCCGCCTATTTTGTCAACGTTTTTATCTAGTAGAATTGAAGAAAGATGATTCATCTGGAAACAAAAGATTAAAACAAAAACAGATCAACCATGCAAAATTACCCCCTAAACCCCCCTGACGGTAGAGCGGCAAATCGTAAAAATTTTGGCCTGTATCACTTCTTTATATATATTCTCATCACATGCCATAATTACACGACCTCTCGCATCTCAGGACAGAACCTTGACAGAAATGTTTCGACTGCACTTCAACTGGTCTCGAATTGACAATGAATTATGGAGCGCCAATATCAAGCGTTAAGTGTTAACAGTTTTTGAGCGGGATTATTCCGAGCTTAAAAACTCGCGCTTAACATTTCAACTTCATAGTAAAGCACATAAAAAAATTCAAACCATGGCAAAATTGGCATTCTGGATACGAACTTTGAAGAAATTGCGGGCTATTTAGGCTCGGGTGGCTTTATATTTAGTCAGTTTTCGACTTTTCGCTTAAAACTTTTGACGGAAGTTTTGTATAAAATCTGAAGTATATTATTATGTAGAGCGCAAGAAGAAAAAATTCACGTGTGGGTAATTGATTTTGTAAGGTTATGGAGTCTTGCAAATTGTTGTTTTGCCATTTTGGGATAATAAACGCGCAGCATACTGCGTTTGTAAACCACATGTAAGTGAAGGGTTCATGCGTTCCAAAATGAATTGAAGAAAGTCTTTGTTCTGATTTTCGTAACGAAGGTAACGGAATATTTGTGCTCGGGGTGGTATATTTTCCTCACAAATTTCGATTTTTTACTAGCCGTTTTTGACGGACTTTTTAAATATCATTTAAAAGGTAGTGCTGTCCTGAGCGAAAAACTCGAAAAGATATTCCAACTGTGATCATTTTTCGTACAGTTATGGGGGTTTAAAAATAGCCATTTTAGCCAACTTGGGACAATTAACGCGCAATATATTTTGCGTGTCTGTACAAAACATTCCAATACAAAACAGTCCGGAAAAGTACGAAAATGAACCAAAAAACAGTCCCAAGTAATAATTGTTTTAACAAGCCGGTAGGCCGAGAATTTTCCTTTGTTCAACAAACATAAATAACAAAATAGTGACCGCCGCAGTCACGCCAACGTGTTGCGAGCTTGTCAACAAAGGGTAGGATTTAAAACGAAATTTAGAGCCGGTTATCGCCGCGAAGCTGCGACGCACGCGCAGCGCGCCCACCGGCGACCTTAAACCGGACTATTTTGTATTTGGACTGTTTTTTTCCTTAATTTCATGATTTTTTGGACTATTTTGTACTGGACTGTTTTGTATGGGACTGCTTTGTATATGCACCACATTTCGCGCTTTTAACGCGTAAGCTGAGTTTGAATTCGTCTTAGAAATCGTTCCAAATTGGTTGAAGAAAATTTATTTGCTGTATGTGATTTGTTACAAGGAGCGAAATCGATCACTTTGTACTTTATATGGCGTGGGGGAGGGGGGGGGGGGGGGGGCAATCGCAACATTCGCAACATGGGGCAATCGCAACATTCAGGGTTTCATTCTGATACAAGCCGTCTCGTTTGGTTTTATTATTACAATACCAGACGCTAAATATATTCCCTTGTACTTTACACAGCTTGTTGGGGGAAAAGAAAATGACAAAAAACAACACGAAACACTTTTTGTTTGGATTTTTATCCATTATTTATCCAAAACTTGTTTTTGACCTTAGAGTGCAGTCGGAACATTCAGGGCTCCGCCCTGATTAACGAGTAGGCTTTTTTACATTTGAATCTATGAATTCGTTATCTTAATTGGGGTGTAAGATACAGAACTTTCGGGCTCTTTTCTATTCCCTCTCGTAAAATTGCTTTACGAAATTGTCAAACAGTGTCTATATAATAAATCACGCACAAATTTTTTTTCCAAATCCGTTGATTTGTTCACTTTGATGTGTTTTTTTAGAGTTTAGATAATCAAAAGTCCATTTAAGAAGAGGAGTGGAAAAGAGCCCACTTTTCCTCTAGCAAGAAAACTGAGTTTTGATTGGCTGGCATAATTTTTCGGGCATTCAGCCTGCCTCCAGGTTTTCGCGCCAAAAATTCATGAAAGAGTTTAGATTTGTCGTTACCTGGTCTGGCGGCCCTGGTGTCCACTCCGAACTTGATCGGCCGGCCAATCACCCCCTCCTTCAGTCCAGGTCCAAATGCCTCCACCGACTGAGAGTTCACACTGGGCTGGACTATGACCTTGAACGGGGATCCAGGCACCTGTCTGTCTGCATACGTCACGTGCATCAAGTACATGCCTGGAGTTGGTTAACATACTAATATAACACGCTATATAATAAAAATTGTTATGATTTAAACAACTTCAATGTATCATCAAAAGGTGGTTACTAATGATGAGGGGTTTTGAAGACAAAGACCATGCGTTTAATCATCTTGAGCTCTCAGTTTTACTTTGTGAACGCCATGCTTTGATTTCTCGGCGGAATCAAACAACTTATGATATTTTGTATAAACTAAAAGACATTAATCGTAGTTGATGGTTTTTTATGGGGTTCTTTTTCAGTTTGCCAACCCTCGTAAAATAATATAAAGTTATTTAAAAAATGTTAAAACAGTCATTCGCATGAAAGAATTCTTGTAAAATTTTATTCACTTGTTCACGTTAACACGTTTTATTGCAATTAAGCACATCGAAAGACATTTTATTTAGCTTTCGTAATTTGAATTTCAGAAAAATTCAGAGGGGGTGGGGCTATTAAATAAATGATTTTTTTGCTTGCCTTGCATGTATGGATTGTAGGTCGCATGATAAATAGTGTCACTCTTTTTGGACACTTCCACTTTCACGTCTCCATGTAGTCCACTCATTCTCACCTCCGGCTCACCTAAACACGGGAAAACATTCGTAATAATTTGCGTTAAATAGTTAAATAGCTACCGTTTGCTTGTAACCCCAAGGTTTGTGGTTCGAGGCCCACCTTGACTCGTGCACGCTCTTGAGAAAACAATTAGCTGCTCAGGGCCTGACTATAATCGAATATCTTTCTTTATTAGAGGAACAACACTGTCTTCTCAGCAAAGAGCTGAATTTGCTCACATGTTGTTTTTCCTTTGATGATACAAGACTTGAATCTTCTTAAAATAAGTAAATTCGACAAGAAGTGTTCAAATCGATTCATACATTTCGGCCGTTGGCAGAACTATATTGTACAAGCAAGCAAGTTCAGATTCCGCCCCAAAAGAAGTTGACAGATAAGCTAACGAAGATTTTTGTATCAACTCGCTTCATTGGGAAAGCAAATTAATCGCATTTTAATTTGTTTTTTAGTTCGGTCAATTTGATAAATTTTAAGGACTTATGAGTTCCGGCACTGGATTTTTATTGGAAGAAACTTGATTAAATTTTAGCTTTATTGTCAGTGTCTAAAAAGTGAAAAGTAATCGATTAGAATCAATTAAAAACGGATTATATTGCTATTATTAAATAAAGCATTAAAAACCAGCACTAAAAATCAATTATAATCGATTTTTTTTTCACTTTTATAAATAAAGACAAGGAAATTCCATTATCACTGACTGGTGAGATGAAAATTTCAACGCGCACAAAGTGTTTTAATTCTGCCTCGTTTCGGTTCTGAGGCAGATCGGTTTCGGGTAGCTGGCCGATTGACAACATTTCAATTCATACGTAAATTAACCGTAATTATCGAAAATTACAAGTCAAGTCAACAAAGAATAACGAACTGCCATAAGTTTTGGTATTTAAAAGCAGAATTATTCAATGTCATAAAATACGCAAAATGAAAACATTAAAAAGTCAACTTTAAAATGGCGCCTGAACAATTGTGAACTTTTTTTCGATCTTTCAGTTTTCGACTTTTTTCACTCTCTGTTCTTCGTTCAGCAGAAAATTCATTGGTTACTTTTCTGCGTTTCAAACTAAAGTTGGTTGCTTGTTTTCAACTTTTTTTTCTTTTTTTACGATGACTGTCGCATGTGTCTTATATCTATTTTTGCGTTCAGTATTTTCATCACACCAGGCAGAAAAAACGACCTAATTTGAAAACAACGTTTGTATTTTTTCTAAGACTATGGTCAGAACATTCTTTGCTGTTTGCACAGTAACCGGCTATCCTTGTTTCATTTTGTTGTCTGAGTGGAGCATGGGAATCAAGAGACAATTTAGAGCAAAAAAAAACATTATAGTTGATTTCTTTCCACTTTTCTTAAATGGGTTTGTCGATAATTTTTGAGAAGTAATTTGTTGCTTCCAGGGAATGTGAAAAAGTACACAATTTCAATCTGATTTGGATCTTCATTTTGAGCAGTATAGAAGCACGGACTAGTTGTTGTGCAAATAGTGCTCTCATAATTTCGACCACTTTGATTTAGGAAAAGAAATGGAAAAATTAACAAAAAAAATGAAATCATTTTGGCAGTTTTCGGCTACATTTTTGTTCTAAAAAGATATAATGCTGAAATGCTGAATCAGGCAAAAAATTCAATAGCGAGTGCTGGTAAATCAAGAGGGGATTCTTTGGGGGGGGGGGGGTTGCAAGTTTGCCATGCAAAGGGTTAGCCTTTTGCAGCTATTTGCCCCTGGTTACAAAAGCTGAAAAAAGGTTGGAGCTCGAACAAAATATACAAGTCAGCCTCTGATCAAGGGTTTTATTGAAATCTGAAAACGTGGAAAAACTTCAAACCAATTTTAAATGACACTGAGACTCGTTTTTTGAGGTTTTTTTTTCCAGAGAGACAAGAAAAAAGAGACAACATCTCGATAACTTATTACGATCAGAGAAACGCCTCTTTTCAGTCAAAGCGAATGATTTTTAAACAAACCCACATACTTGAAGAGTTTTGATGCGTATCCGCAGCGCTGGATCTAGAACGTTCTCCAGGGGAGGGAAACGTTTTGTTTAGGTCAATCAAATTGATTTTCCGAGCTCTCGCGAATCACTATAATGATCCTAATTTCATACTGCCCCGCAGTGAATTTGAAAAACGTGTTTAAGACATTTTTGGAAAGTGTTCATCAAAAATCCGCATTTTTTGGCGCGCGTTCCAACCTCTAATTTAGTGTATGGAAAAAATAGGGTCGACCTAAAATGAATGTCGTCACAAATATTGCCAAAGAGCCGACCCTTTAAAAGGTCAGGGGGTCAGTCATTGAGGGAGGCAGGCGCCCAACTCTTCACCCGCCGTAAATCAGCTACTGCAAAACAAACCTAGAGTTCTGAGAATAGAGTGCTCATATTAAATTTGGGTGAGAAAAATCAGATGAGTCAAATACTCCCTAGCTATTTTATCCAATCACTTTCTTCGAAAAAGGAACCAAAAAAGCTATGATTCGATTCTATTTGTAGTTATTTGGCAAAATGCAAGCTAGAAAGAAATTAAATTTACATAGCAAAAATAAAGCTAGAAAAAACAATCTATTGCATTTCGACTCAATATTGGTAAACTTAATGTATATTTTTTCGAAGCGCGGAAAAAATGAGAGCTATACTAACTTGACATCTCCGTTATCCACTGTGAAAAGCAAATTGTTTTTTCTTACGAAGGCAGGGAAACAGTTGTTTTTTCTTACGCTCAAAGCTTCTTTTCTGATTGACTCGCTTGAGCCTGATTACGAATGAAGTAGCTTTAGTACGATAAACGATTTCATTTGACTCTCTTTTTTGGCAGTTGAGCTCAAAATTTTTTGCCAGTCGCAAAATACGGTCTTTATAGTGATATGGGAGGGCTCAGAAAATCAATTTGGTTCACTCTAGAGCAATTCATTAAATTTTTTGAGAAAAACTGACAAACCACCCCAACCCCGCCTCGTCATCTAGAAAAAAACTAGACCTACCCCGGGTTCACAGTATACATTGGAACGCAAAACAGTTGGCCAAAATAGGGTCTTTATAGTGATTTGGGAGGGCTCAGAAAATCAATTTGGTTCACCCTAAAGCAATTTATCAAACTTTTTGAGAAAAACTGACAAACCATCCCAACCCCGCCTTGTCATCTAGAAAAAAAACTAGACCTACCCCTGGTCCACAGTACACATTCAAACGCAAAACAGTTGGTCAAAATGGGATCTTAATAACAATTTGCGAGGGCTCAGAAAATCAATTTGGTTCACCCTAAAGCAATTTATCAAACTTTTTGAGAAAAATTGACAAACCACCCCAACCCCGTCTCGTCTTCTAGAAACAAACTAGACCTACCCCTGGTCCACAGTACACATTCAAACGCAAAACAGTTGGTCAAAATGGGATCTTAATAACAATTTGCGAGGTCTCAGAAAATCAATTTGGTTCACCCTAAAGCAATTTATCAAACTTTTTGAGAAAAACTGACAAACCACCCCAACCCCGCCTTGTCATCTAGAAAAAAACTAGACCTACCCCTGGTCCACAGTACACATTGGAACGCAAAACAGTTGGTCAAAATGGGATCTTAATAACAATTTGCGAGGGCTCAGAAAATCAATTTGGTTCACCCTAAAGCAATTTATCAAACTTTTTGAGAAAAACTGACAAACCACCCCAACCCCGCCTTGTCATCTAGAAAAAAACTAGACCTACCCCTGGTCCACAGTACACATTGGAACGCAAAACAGTTGGTCAAAATGGGAACTTAGTAACAATTTGCGAGGGCTCAGAAAATCAATTTAGTTCACCCTAAAGCAATTTATCAAAATTTTTGAGAAAAATTGACAAACCACCCCAACCCCGTCTCGTCATCTAGAAGAAAACTAGAACTACCCCTGGTTCACAGTATACATTGGAACGCAAAACAGTTGGCCAAAATAGGGTTCTATAGTGATTTGGGAGGGCTCAGAAAATCAATTTGGTTCACCCTAAAGCAAGTTTGTCAAAACTTTTGAGAAAAACCGACTTAAGAAAGGCTTATCGTACAGTTTTCATGGAAAATAAATGTATGGAAAGCATTTTTTTCAGTTGAATAATTTTTTCATCAAAAATTATCTTAATATTGTTTAAAACCATACAAAAACAATATGATGGCAGTTTTGGTTACATAAGAGCAACTTTGGCAAACAAAAAAAAATGCTTGACAAACAACTTTATATTAGAAAGTTGTATGATAAGCATTTTTACCAGAAAAAAAAACCATCTGAGGTAAAAATTGTAAACACTTTTTTGAACGCAGACTTGCTTCTGTGCTCGAATATACACTTTACTTTTTTCTGTTCTCTATTAAAAATTGAAACTTTTTTTTTCAAATGAGGTTGACAATCAAAAAATACACCAGTATTTAATTTATGCTAAAAAGATGGGATGTTGTTAACTGTATGCTCCTTTTTTGCAAAAAAGAAACCAATTCGTTACAAGGTGCAAAATTCGTATATGCTTAAATATGTTCAACTCTTCTTTTATAAGGTAGCCAATTCGTTACAAGGTGCTTATAGGGGAGCATTTTGTTAACAAAATCCAAAAGGTGGTGTAACATGGTTGTTTGCGTATTTAAGCTTACAATCATACATTTAGTTACATCAACATATTATTCCTTTTAGTAGATTTAAAAGATTTCTTCTCTAGGTTCGTTCTTTTTTTCCTAACGACACCGCAAAGTCGTCCCTTGAGCAGTGAATTCAGTGGTGCGACCGAGATTCACTACTATCTACAATCCCGACAGGGTTATTTTGGTGGCAACTATTCTGTATTGTATTATGTTGCTTGCCCCTCTGTGTATTGCTCTTCGGCTGTCTTGTCTCGTCTACTCGATACAGTCGCAAGAATTTCCGATGATAAATTAATTAGATGATTATATGTCCAATTACACAAAGCTCTGAGTGGCCAGGATATAATCTAATAATCGAGTCAAAAGAAAAAATTCCGCGATTTATCGGCCAAATTGCCTAATTGCAATTTAC